TAAAACACTAAAACAAACCAAAGACTCAAACAGCACCCAAAACACTCAAAACTGCCTTAAAAACACTTTCTGGGCAGTTTTGAGCACTTTGACTACTTTGGACGAAATTGGGTAATAAAATGAATCAAAACACTTAGAACACAAACTAAGATACTTTCTAACTAAGTTGGACACTAAAGCAAAGGGGGATTGAGTTTTTGACGAATTTGAAAACAAAACTTAAAACTTTGTAAAACGAACAGATTTTAAAATGAATTTGGATTTAATGAATGGAATGGAAGCTAGCTAAGGGGTTCATCTCCACACATGCCATACTTGCACACAAAACGATTTCTAATTGCTTTTCAATAACCCATGAATTCTCAACGCCCCAGATTAACCGTGAATTGCACTAATTAACCCTCAGATTTTCCTAACGTTATTGAATTGGATGATTGCATACGACAACCCAAAGCATTCCCCACAAGTTCCCTACATGAATTGCATAATAGAGATACAAGCAAGAATCATTAAGTTCTTTGAAAACCATAAGCATTGACGAAGCATTCGTTACTATGAATTGCATGAAACTTATGCCAAGAATTTACTTAACGCAATTGAGGTCATCAACTTTTACTACTTGTGAATATAAGTTTGTAACGATTAGGAGAAACTTCCTTATATCCTAGCATTAGATTTACGCATGATAATTAAGCGTGCGCTCTCAACCAACACACACGAATCAGTTTAATTCAAATAGATAAGTAAATTGAATTCACAACTTATGAAACACAATTAGAGGTAATCAATTCATATAGCAAGCATGATCATGGTTTCGAATCCCCCCCTAGCCAAGGGGGGTTTAGTTCCTCATACGTACAAGACAATGATAAGTAAATTTAACCATTGAAATCAAGGAGAGGAAACACCTAAAAATTCCAACAACTCAAACTTGAATTGTATGAACGTTTAAGCCCTCTTCTCCTCCTCTTTGTTGCGGCACAAGGGTTTGTTGTGAGTTTTGGGGGTTATGGATGGTGTAGAATGATGTGTTTAGGATAGTGATGGATGTAGGGGACGGCAAGGCTTATTTCTGGGCAGAAAATATGAAGAATGATGAAGTATGGATGTGTTATAGAGAGGGGATGAATTTCTGGCGTGAATGGTGAATGAATGGCCTCTTTTGTGGCTGCAATGGATGTTTATTTATAGGTGGCTGAATGATTAAAGAGGGAATATGAATGGAATGACAGCTAGGAAGAGAATGTGGCTGCCATCATGAAGAGTGCATGGATGTGGCTGAATAATGAAATGGGAAAGCATGTGAGTGACATCTAGAGTGATTGGTGGCTGCAAAGGATTAAAGAGGGAATGATGATGGGAGAGCATGTAGGTGAATTATAGAATGGGAAAGCATGTGAATGACAGCTAGGGTGATTGGTGGCTGCACTAATGAAGGGGGAAAGCTGGAAAGGCTGCGGCAAGGTGTGTGGAGGTGCTGGAATTGATGGTGAATGCACGGCTTAAGGGTTGAATATGGCTTGGGTGATTAATCCATGGGAGAGACAGCTAGAGGGGGAATATATGCATGATGATGGCTGAATTATATAATGAAAAGTGAATGATTAATGCTCTAGTGTTAGGACAAAGGTGCGGCTGAAATATAGGGAAGGTTTAAATGTCCTAAAACTAAAGGGAACAAGGTTCCCTTGCACGGCAAGGGATGATGAGAAAGGGAAAGGTGACATGGTGCACGGCAAGGAAGAGGAAGGGTCAAGGGACCTTTGTTTTGTGTCCTAGAATGCATATGAAGTCTTCAAAGTGTTTGGGACATAAGGACAATTAGGATTTAGGAAATGTCAAACCAAGATAGGAAACCCTGGGCTTAACTTTCCTACTTCAAGTAGGAAACCTTCTTTGACTAGGATTCCTCATTTGATTAGGAATCCTCTTGTGATTAGGAATCCTAACTTCATTAGGTCTTCAATTTCGTCCATTCCTTTTGCTCCAAACATAAGCTATCCATTCCACGCCCAATTTTGCTCCAAAATGCTCCAAAATGCACCTTTTTGCTTCCTTAGCCATATGAACCTAAAAACACATGAAAATGGCATAAAGGACTAAAATAACTAAGGAAACACAACGTAAATGCATGAGAACAAGCCAATTAAGTCGCAGAAATATGCTCCTATCATCTGGGATTATAAGAGAGATGATTTTTCTCCAATTTTCCTTGTGGGGAATTGTTTCGATTCTTCTTTTCAACTTCTTTGTTGTTTTTTCTTGGCTATTTCTCACAAGGTTAAGCTAGGTTTGTGTAATAGCTTCAAAGGTTGGAGAAAACATCAGTATAGGGTAGAAATCATTGCTAAACTTAGGCCTAGGGTTCTTATGATTAGGCGTGTTTTTGTTTGGGCAAGCAAGCGTCCATGTTTTAGTACGGTAATAAATAATTGGTCTATTAATTTTAGGGTTTCTATGAACCATTTGAGTTCCCTAGAACTTGTGTGGTTCTGGATTCTTATGTTGGCCTTATAATCATTACCTCACGGTAAATAGCAGCATGCTGGTGGATACTCTTGAGGGAGTTTCTTTCTGGTTGTGGTAATTGCTTCAATCGAAGCCATGATTGGCCTTTAGAGGGACGTTTATGTTCCATAGAGGCATGAGAAGCCAAAGGGCTTACTTGTAGTGGTTGTCCTGTTAACCTTTCTAGGAGGGTTGTGATATGATAGCCATTATTTTAGTTTTTAGCTTCGATTTCTTGAGAAATCTTTCCTATCCTAACTTCTTGTTATCATTTGTAGGTTGGATTCCTCCAGGTCCCTATTTAAGAACGGAGTGGGTCACTGGGGATCTCCATCATTTCTTCTTTCATTTATCCTTTACTCAGTTAGTCTATACTATGCTATGACCCCTAGATCTCATTGTGATGCCTCTTCCTCTCATAGCCGAAGACTTGTTCCCAACCCTAGGTTACCTTCATGGGCAAACCTTTTTTAAGTTCCTCAACCTAGACAACAACCCATAATGGTCGAGAGATCTAACAACAACCGCACCATGGAGACTGTGTTACTCGAGTGCAAACCAACTTAATTCTTCTGCTATTATTGAGTATTAGGAGATGAGAGTGCTCATGGGTACGATGCTTGGGAAGAATTTGGAAGCTACATTGATTAAGTGGAAGTTAGGCTCAATCTAGAGTACCGAAGTCAAAAATCAATTTTATTAGGACCATTTTGATCACAGATTGATTGCGGTTGAGTTCACTGATGATGATGAACTGCAGTTATCTTAGACATTTGACCTTTGTATGTCAAAGGGCAAATCTTCCGTCTTGAAAGGTGGACATATGAGTTCAGGGATGTGGATAGGGTCATGAACTTCAAGGTCTGGGTTCGTTTACCCAGGTTACCAATACAGTTTCGTGAGAACGCATCATTGGTAACATTCTTTAGTCTATAGGTACTACGGTCAAGGTGGATGAGGTGACTTTCTCTAAGTTTAATGGACTTTTTGTTTGGGTTCTGAAGGAAGTTGATTTACGCTTCTCTTTGAATAGGGTTATTATTGTTAACAAAGATGAGGACAATTCGATAGTGATTACCAATCAGAAATTGTTCTGAAATGATCTGCATTACCTGGTTGGTCAACTCTAGTCGACATAAGCCAATGTTCTCTGGGTCATTGTTGAGATGTAGGTTAGGAGAGGGATTTCCCTCCGAGTCGTCATCGACTACCAAGATGTCTTTAAGCCAATCTTTATCTTGCCAAAGGATATCCAAGATATATGGCCCCCAAAAAAGGCTAGGTCTAGGTAGGAAATAATAGTGGCCATTGTTGTGATAAGTGCAAGTGTACAATATCATCCACGTAATATAGTAATAAGTAGAGTGTTGTTCTAACAAGGATCGCATTACTTAAATTTACTATTCTGATTAACTTCAAACTAAAATTAAATAAAAGAAGGATTATGACTCACAAATTCAAATATGCAAAGAAACAAAACGCAAGGAAAAATAACAATGTGCCAAACTCCTTTGTTCCACATCAATCAAAGTTCTTGCCGTGATAAGAAAAGGCCGACCCGATTCAATTGCCTATAGTCAATACATAGCCTCAAAGTTCCGTCTTTCTTCCTTACAAACAACACTGGAGCTCCCCAAGGTGAAGTACTAGGCTGAATGAAACCCTTATCCACTAATTCCTGCAACTGAACTTTCAATTCCCTTAACTCGGCGGGAGCCATATGATAAAGAGTCAAGGAAACAGGATTAGTACCTAGAAGTAACTCAATAGTGAACTCCATGTCTCGATCAGGCCGCAAGCCAGGTAAATCCTCAGGAAAAACATCGGGAAAGTGTCTAACTACCTTCACAACCTCAACTCTACTAGGAGCAGCCTCATCCAACACCACATGAGCTAAATACCCCTAGCAACCTTTAGACAACAACCTTTTCGCTCGCACAGCAGAAACAACGCCATGTCTCACCCCACTCTGCTCACCCACGAAAGTAACCACAGGTAGTCCAGGACGATGGAACGTAACTATTTTCCCGTAACAATCAATATTGGCACGATAGAAATGCAACCAATCTGTGCCCAGAATCACATCAAAGTCAACAATATCTAACGGGATAAAATCAACTGGCATAACCACATCCTCCACTATCACTGGACACCCTGGGAACACACGATCTACAATACATCTCTCCCCTCTAGGCATAGCCAACTCTAACTCATACCCTAGAGGTGTGGGGCGAGGTTGCATCATTTGAGCAAATGTATGAGAAATCATGGAATGTGCAGCACCACAATCAATTAATACTCTAGCTAAATAACCAAGGATATTTAACGTACCCATAATCAAATCCGGATTGTTCTGAGCGTCCTGCAGAGAAATGTTGTGAATACGCCCCTAGGTTTGCTGTCGTCCACCTCGACCTCTGCTCGTTTGACCACCACGACTCTGAGTACCACGCCCCTGACTGGGCTGACCAGACTGCCTCGAAGACCCCGCACTACTCGAAGCGATCTCCCCCTGCTGAATTTGTCCTCCCTGGAACCACTGAGAACCGCATGTTGGAGCTGAAGGATACGGCATATAGCCACCCAGATACGGAGGATAACCACCCTGAGAATATGGGTCCTGGGGATATTGATATTGTCCCGGGGCATAGGGAACAGCATCACCCTGATAGTAGAAAGCACCACCTCGGACCGACTGACCATAACTACCCGGACCTTGAATCTGCTGAATCGGCGCAGGTGGCGGCAAGAAAGTCTGATGCGGCTTCTGCTGCTGACTCTGGGGACAATTCACAGCCCGATGTCCCATCTGCCCACAAGTAAAACAACCACTGCTGCCACGCCTACACTCACCAAAGTGCCGATTATTACATCTACGGCAAAGTAGGGCCCTGCCTCTACCACCATCACCCTGCCTCTGGCCTCTAGCACCACCAACGAACCTACCTCCACGTCCCTGACCAGTGGCGCTGAAACCACCGCTAGAAGAACTCGAGCTAGTACCACCCCTCTTAAAGTTCTGAGTCCGACGAGGCCCGAGCGACGCTTGACCTTTACCCTTATCATCTTTCTTCTGATTACCATCTTTCTCTTCCTCATCACTCTCGCTCGACATATTTTCTGAATCCTCGACCCTCAGCAGAATCTCATAAAAATCCTGGTAGGTATCACAATGAGTAGTGGTCGTCATCGAACGCCATTTCTTCTTAGTGCCTAAACGAAAACGACGAAGCATCTCCGCCGAATTACCAGCTATCTCAGGATGATAGCGAGACAAATAAGTGAACTTCCGATAGTACTCATTCGCTGTCAACTTCCTCTGTCTCAACTCAGTAAATTCCTGCTTCTTTCGATCAATATACTCAAGAGGCACAAACCTTCTCCTGAACAATTCTTGGAAAACATCCCAATCAGTCTTTTCCGCTGTAGTCAAACGACGAGATTCCTGCTCCCACCAGGCCGCAGACTCCTTGCCCAAAAACCACGAGGTCGTCTCTACCCACTTCTCAACAGGAAGATTCCCCTGACTGTTCAAAACACGAAAAGTCTTCTCAATATGCTCTAACCATCGCTCTGCACCCTCATGACCCTCGCTACCTTCGAACTTATCCAACTTCAAATTATACATAGTCTCCAGAGGAGTCCTCTGGGGAGGGTGGATCGCCGACTGAATAGCTGTAGCGATAGCTTCCCCCAACTGAGCAATATCGGGGAAACTAGGCTCAGCAGAGCGACGTGGTTCCCGACGAGGCGGCATAGTTCTGATAGAAGACACCAAAACCATTAGAATACTCACAAAAGTACAGGACTGCCAAACCTAGGCTCTGATACTAAACTGACACACCCCGATCGAGATCAGGGTATGCTGGCCGTCGTGGAAGTGGCGTAACCATGTGCACAGTGCGGAAGCTAATAAAATAATAATGTAAATAGTACGAATAAATAAAAACTAGCATACATAAGGTAATAGAACAAGTGCTAGCGTAAGTGAGACACAGGTTCAAAGCAATAAGCCTAAAACAGTCCAAAAGAAAACGACGAAACAACCGTACACCCGAAGGTGGTCCTACACTGGTGATCGTCTGTCAGATATGCCGGGAAAACCCTCTGGGAAACCACCAAATGTGCTAGCCAACTAGAACCTGGAGGGGCGCAAAACAAAAGCGTGAGTGCGCAAAAACAAAGTTTTTCGAAAACCATTTGATAAATAAGTTCTAACCCCTCGTCGTAAAACCTGTATACTTCCTAGAAAATAGAATATATATATATATATATATCATGCTCGAAAAGCGTGCCATGCGATATGCCTCTAAGTAACATACAAATGCTCAGGGATATGCCATACCAAGACCTCAAATAAAATGTAAGTGCTCAGGTAATATCACATCCAAATCATATAAACTGTCAGCCGGAGTCACCTAACATGACCTGTACGGCTGAATCTAGAGCTCAAATCTCAATCTCACTATCTATACCTGCACACGAGTCGGAACCACCTAAAGTGGTCTGTACGACAGGCATGGGTGTAATATAAATACGCTCTAGTGCTACGATCACGTGAAGGCTGGGCGAATATTCGCGGGTCACCTATGAGTTGGAACCACCTAAAGTGGTCTATACGACAGGACTGTACACCTAACTTTGATCCAAGCTGAGCGTGTGGTGCGGGAGGTGAACATCACATGAAGGACTGTGCCCTACTCTGGGCGGGAGCACTGACACCGGGGGTGCAGGTTACGAGCTCTCTAAGTCTCTAAAGTCATTACTGAAAGTAAATATAAAGTCATACTCACCTGGCACTTACCTGTGCGTCCGCAGCATCAATTCACATGCATATATATATAACTAATAATGCATGAATGAACGACAACAATAAACATGGCAATATAATGCAAAAACATTTTAATTTCATTTTCTGGGAAACGTATAAGTATATAGGTATATACAGAAAACCGAAAGCCCACTCACTGGTAAGTGGAAGGGTCGTAGCCCCCCTGCCTCGAGTTACCACGCTCGTCCTCGGGATACGTCTCACCTATATGCGAAACAACTATAAAAACGTTAATTTTAAAGCACATATCCAACCTTTAGAAATAACTTCTCATGCATTGCTCAAATGGGGTGTATGAATACACCAACGTGATCTACTCAACCTCAGGAACATCCCCATATTTTTAAAATAATTTTTCACCGTCGCACGTGCCCCCACGCGCCGGCCACGCGCAGGCACGTGCCTGGCACGCTGACGGCATCAACTGACGCCGTTAGGAATATTCCGTTATCCCTAACGGTTTCCGTCAACGGCGTCAGGAATATTCCGTCAGACTTGACGGAATATTCCGTCGTCTTCCCCGGCGAGCCTCCGGCACCGTTGTCGGCGCCGGAAAACTGGGAAAATTTTAAAACGTCCTATCTTCTTCGTTTTTCAACCAAATTTCACGAAATTGGTACCAAAATGAAGCTTACAACGAGAAGAACACAATCATACCACTTTCAAGCACCAAAAACCATTAAATCTCACCTGGAAAATCACCCCAACTCCGGCCAACTTCGAAACTCGTGATCCCGACGTCCAAAACCTTCAAACGAACCACCCCGAGCCTCTTTGGGACCTCACCATGCTTCCTACAAGCTTGAAATTCCCTAAAACGTGAGAATTCACGTGTGCATGAACAGTACCCAAAATCGGGCATCGTGAGTTCGACGTGAAAACGAAGGTATTCTTACCTGAAATAGGTATGGTTGGACTCCTACGAGCCTCACGAGTTTGAATATGTGCTTGGATTCTTCGATCTGTGGAGGTTGATGGGTGTATGGGTGTGTCCGTACGTTTCAAAGGAAATGGGAAAGGAATGGGGACTCGGGACAGTGTGCAGGAAACATGAGGAAAGGTTGTGGAGTGTGGGAAAGTGTGTGTGGCCTACAACATGCCAACCAAACTCAAAAACAACCAATAAACTTAAAGAAATCGAACTAGGGGCAATTTTGTCTTTTCACACATACGTTATAATATTTCTGGGACGGGCTGTCACAAATTGATTGGGAATGAGTTTTTTGCAGAAAAAATTTAAAAATTGGCAGAACAATTTTTTTTCCTTCAACCGGATTGAAAGCCCCATCAAGGTTTTTATCAAGGCCCATTGATGGACCCTATCCTCTTTTGTGTACGTATCTTTCTCATCTTAATGCATATCACACTCTTTTTATAAATAAAAAAAAATAGTCATTATAAGTAAAAGTATGATCAATTTTTAGAAAATTTTATTTTATGAGCCCATTATAAATTTCTCGCTCCACCACTAAACTTGCAATCATATATGAGCCTCATATGGGAACTTCATGAGACTCAATATATTTTAAAGAGTATTTTCAAAATACAAATAATGCTTGTTGAAATTCATGGTAACTTTTCCTTTCCCTTCAAAACCATTTATTAATTGAATTAAAATTCTAGTTAAAATGAGTATTTCAAAATACAAATAATGCTTGTTCAATTCATGATAACTTTTCCTTTCCTTTCAAATCCATTTATTAATTGAATTAAAATTCTAGTAAAAAACGTTGGCTGGCACTATTGCAACCATTCCTCTCTTCATTTGATTTTTTTATTTTATTTTATTATTATTATGAGGATGAAAAAGATTCGAAATTATTACAATAATTAAAGGGAGGGGGAGTTTCGAACCCGACACGCAGGATTAAAAACCTAACACTAGAATATTAAACCACATGCTTCATATTATTATTATTGTGCCAATTATTTCGTTAATTCTCCAACTTTATATACATAGTAAATCTCCAAAGTTTATGATCTTTCTTTCCTACACCGAATGGAAGATCCACCCTTTTCTTTTCAAATTGATCCAATATTGATCGGAGTTCTTTTTGTATGCTATAATTATTCTCTCTCCATTACAAATTGACTAATTTAAATATGGGGAAATTAAACTTTAAAAAAACGAAAATAATTAATCTACACAGATTTGTAATGATCATCATTTCTTTTGGTAGGAAATAACTGAATATGATTCATTCAATTTCTATTACTTTATTCATATGCCAATTAGAAAATAAATAAAAAAGCAATAAATACAAGACAATGTAGGGAATTTGAAAATGAGCGGTGGCAAGTTCAGCTTTCTGGGCATAACATTTGTGCAATGGTGAACATTGTTGGCAAAGGATTATACTGGTTTCTTGGTTACCTCCAACGTGTGGATACTGGTTTCTTGGCAAAGGATTATATAACGGATTCACTGTTTTCGTGACATTTTATTCATTAATAAATTGTTATATAAAGAAAAACTTACACATGATAACGTATCTAATTAAGCGCATAAATCTTATGTAACAATAAACTCATTCTATATATAACGACTCAGGCTTGATGGACTCACTTTGCTAATGTTTCAGCCCAAATATTTTCATTAATTGGTTTAATTCCTGTTAATTTTGAATTACGCATTGTAGTGTTGGATTCACAAACTTTTTAATTCTCCACTTTCAATTGAATAAACAATGTGGTATGTATTTCAAACAAACAAGATTGAACATCTAATTAATGATTTGTTCATCTTCTTCTGGCAAGCAAGAAAAAACTAGTTATGCGATGCGGCCATGTTTGAATTGCGCGACATAAACCAAATTTTCCAATCGCAAATTTGGTGATAAATAAATTAATTTCAATAAGTGAAAAACTCAAATAGATTACATAATTTGATTTTTTTTTTTTTAAGGGGATTAGCTCGTGGGTAAGCTACAGTAATCCACCTCTTCGGAGGTCGAGAAGACTTGTAGAGACAGTTCAATCATCATCTGACTACCATCGTGTGATTTACTATCACTAAAAATCGAACCTATGATAAGGTGTGTGGAATGCGAATCTGAAATTGGTGAAGCATTTGTAATTTCAAAATTTCCCCCTCCATACATATTTATTTTTATCAAACCCTCCGTACATATAACAATTGGAAAAATTAACTTAATTAATATGGGGTAAAACAGTAGTCTACGATTTTTTATTTTATTTTATTATTATTATGAGGATGAAAAGGATTCAAAATTATTACAATAATTAAAGGGAGGGGGAGTTTTGAACCCGACACGCAAGATTAAAAACCTAACACTAAATTATATATGCACTAGAATATTAAACCACATGCTTCATATTATTATTATTGTGCCAATTTTTTCGTTAATTCTTCAACTTTATATACATAGTAAATCTCCAAAGTTTATGATCTTTCTTTCCTAGACCGAATGGAAGATCCACCCTTTTCTTTTCAAATTGATCCAATATTGATCGGAGTTCTTTTTGTATGCTATAATTATTCTCTCTCCATTACAAATTGACTAATTTAAATCTGGGGAAATTAAACTTTAAAAAAACGAAAATAATTAATCTACACAGATTTGTAATGATCTTCATTTCTTTTGGTAGGAAATAACTGGATATGATTCATTCAATTTCTATTACTTTATTCATATGCCAATTAGAAAATGAAAAAAAAAAGCAGTAAATACAAGA